CCTTTGCCTTGCTCCCTTCTTACCAGTCTTCAAATCACGCTTGGAGACTTTTCTCTTTGACCATGCCTACAGTCGCTTTCATTTTCTCCCTGCTCAGATCAAACCCTGCACCCTGAGACACTGCCCCACATGAAGAGCGCAAGCTGCATACATGCAAGTTGTCATTCTTGAATAATTGCATGAATTTTGCGACCTTCCAATCTTATTCCTTAACCAAGAATGTTTCCTTCCTCATACGAGGGGAAGATTAGACCTAATTTGTCTACAATTTAATTACTTATCATTGCCACGATTGCCAGCTAGGGGAGCCTTGTGATATTATGTCACCTTCTCTGAAACTTTCTTCTAAAATCCCTTCATCTTGAACCTTCTTTCCCTGTGTTCAAAAGCCTCCAGAAAACTCTTTTTGACCATGCCTTTGTCAACACCCTTAAATTCCCTCTCCCTTCCTCACTGCTCAGGGATTCCCACCATCTCTGAAGCACATTTAAGACACCCTGTATGAAATACTGGATAAGTGGAGGGAGGTGTTCAGTATGAGTAATGAGAACAAAATAAAGCAAAATCAGACATTTCAGCCACCAGTTAAATAGATCAATTTGCCCTTACTACCTGTTTACCAAACCAAACATATTAAAAACAGGAAAGCATGTAAAATATGTGAAATCTGTTTGAGTAATGGTGTCAAATTGTAAATAGATGACAAGAATAATGTTATTTGTTTTTGAAAACTGGAAGGTTGGCTTGCTGCCAATGAAACATAAGAAAATACAATCTCATAAATATTTTAATATTCTATGCTCATTAACAAAGAAGAAACCCTCATAGATGTCTTCAGCAGACGCCTATGAGGCAGTTATAATATTAAGTGACGCTATTCAAAGTGCTCCATACAAATTAATGGTAAGTTGGTGCATGCGTACTAGATGTTTTTCCAGTTCCTGAACTGGGGGTAAACTGCTCAGGGGCGTGTCATCTCTCTCTATACCAAAGTCACCTTTAATGCAAAATCAATACTGGACTGGAGGAGAGTCTGGGACAATTAGGGAAATTAAGGATGATTGGGATTCTGCATTATAAACCATAATGAGCTCCACCACTTGTCACCAAACGGTTTGCAACAACGTATGAACATCATTCTTTACAATTCTAATTGGGGTTCAAAGACACTTCCAGGTTATGCAAATAAAACACCTTCCCCCTGCTGCTTTATGATTTTATCATTATTTACTGCAGGGAAGATGCATGAGTAATTGTCCCTTTTGTTGGCCATATAAAGTCATAAACAAGAAAAAAATAAGATGAAGTAACAACAGATAGCAAAGACCAATCTAATACTGCTGCTTCTATTAGAGAGTATTTTCTAAACTAGGGAATTTTATTGCATAGCATGGGAAGTAAGCCAGTTGATTTTTTAAAAAAAAACAACATGGCACACGAGTGCCAGATCAATAGGGTTTGCAATCCACTGTGAAGCGTACAATCTGTCTTCATCTCATTCCAGTCCCAACATCCACACCTTATAGAAACATAAGTCCAGGGAGACTAGTACTGGAGAGCCATTGGGTGAAGAAGCATATATGGGGCCAGTTTTGTTCCAATGTTTTGATTTGGCAATTACTATTACATAAAATACATAGACCATTCCAGCAAGGAAACAGGCTATTCAGCCCAACTGGTCCTTGTTGGTGTGTATATTCCACACTCCTCTTCACTCTTCTTAATCCCCTCAATTTCCTTCTCCTCATGTATTCTTTAGGGAGAAACAACAACAATAGCACTTGGAGAATATGTGGTTCAAAACAGACAAGATTGTTAATGTTTAAAAAAATGTACATAAAATTTATAGTTCATAGAATTATACAGCACAGAAGGAGGCCATTTGGCCCATCATGTCTGTGCCGGCTCTTTGTAAAGAGCTTCCAAATCAATTCCATTCTCCTGCTCTCCCTCCATAGCCCTGCAAACTTGTCCTCCCCAAATAATTATTTACTTCTCTCTTAAAAGTTGTTATCGAATCAACTTCCACTACCCTTTCAGGCAATGTATTCCAAATCTGGACAACTCGCTGTGCGAAACAATTTCTCCTCACCTCCCCTCTGTTTCTTTTAACTATTTTAAATCGGTGGCCTCGGGTTACTGACCTACCCGCCAGTGGAAATAGTTTCTCCTTGTTCACCCACTGAATCAACCTCATAATTTTGAAAACTTCTATTAAATCTCCTCTTAACCTTCTCTGCTCCAAGAAGAATAATTCTAGCTTCTCTCGCCTCTCCTGATAACTGAAGTCCCTTATTCCTGGTACCATCCTGGTAAATCTCCTTTGCATCCTCTCCAATACCTTGACATCCTTCCTAAAGTGTGGTGCCCAGAACTGAATGCAGTACTCTCGCTGAGGCCTAACCAGTGTTTTATAGTTGTATCTTATTTCTCTGTAAAAGTAGCTACTGAGAGACTTGTGTCTCCTTATTATTTCTCAGAAGTAATAGTTGGGTCCAAGTTACATTGCAGAGAAGTAAGCAGCACAAATTGAATTCGTAACTCAATAAGCCAAGAGAAAAAGGCTAATTTCAATTAGAGATAAGAGTGTGCAATTTAGTCATTCTTTAAAAAAAAGTTGGAATGTGTATTGAAATTATTGAAGCTGGTTTGAATAATAATCCTGACATTCGGTAGAGTTAAAGGATCCTTAACATGTTCAAAATGTCTCAAAAGTGTTTGTAAATGGACACGTTAGCCAATTTGTGCACAGCAGTGTCCCACTAATAGCCAGAAGGTGAATGAACAAATGACTGGAGGATTGTTTGCCAGGGAATCAGGAGCCACTTTCTCTTTTCGAAAAGTGTTATTGGTTCTTTAATGTCCAGTTGATCAGGCAGACAGGACCTTGGTTTAACTCATCCAAAGGATGACACTGCCGGCAATGCAGCTCTCCTCTAACACTGCACTGGAGTATCAGCCTAGACGAGGAGCCCAAAGTCCCCAACATGGGACTCCTCTATCTCCACAACACCACCTGCTTCCACCATTACCTAATCCCACACACAGCTAAAACCCTCACCCAAACCTTGTGTCATCTCCAGTCTCAACTGTTTCCAACACCCTGCTCACCAGCTTTCCCAACTCCAGATCATTTAATACTCAACTCACATTGTCTCCTCCACCAGGCTCTGCAAGCCCATTACTCCCATGCTCGCTCGCCTGCCTCCACTGGCTCCCTATTCCCCAGTAGATTCTCATACTTTTCTTCAAAATATCTCCACGGCTCTTTTCCTGTCTCATCTCATTGATCTCCTACAAGCCTGCGGACCCGGACATTTCCCTCCGCTAGCTTTGGCCTGCTTCACAGCCACTGCCATTCCGTACCACTATCAATGGGTGACTTAGCCCCATCCTTCGGCTCTCTTTTGCCATAGTCTTCTATCTTGCCCTCTGCTTCTCAGCTTTCAAAACCTTTCGAAAGACCTCTCTCCTTGTTCCCATTTTTGGCCAACTTGTTGCCAGTGTGCCAGCAAATAAGGCGAGCTAATACACTTGCAGAATTTAGGCCTCTATCACGAATTGCTGACACTAGCAATTTTTTATTGTATGACCTGTAGCTGTTACTGTGAAGCGCTCTGAGACGCCGTCCGGCATAGAGGGCGCTATATAAATCCAAGTTGTTGTTGTTGAGCTCCACAGACAGCCTCTCGCCTCTCTCCTTCCCCCTCTCACTCACAGTGGACTTTTAATATTCTGCTCAGAATAGGGAAACTGCGGTCTTATAAAACCAGTCGCAGCCCAGCAATCTTAACAAAAACAAAGGTTTTGGCGCAAAATTAAAAAAAAATTGGATACATTTTAGTGGGGAGGAGTAGCAGGAATAATTGTGGGTTGATTCCAAAATAAATGAACAAAAACAGAAGTCGCTGGGAGCACGCAGCAGGTCAGGAGGCGTGTATGGAGAAAGGAAAGTGAGTCAACGTTTCATCAGAATGGTCGTGGACACGAAACGTCGACTCACGTTCCTTTCTCCATAGATGCCGCCTGACCTGCTGAGTGTTCCCAGCGACTTGTTATTGTTCCAGATTTCTAGCACCTGCAGTATTTTGCGTCTTGTTTCCAAAATAAATAGTTTGGAAAAGGCTACTGGTGGGGAAACCTGCTTTCCGTGTATTTGTTTCCAAGCCGAGTTCAAGGTTGTTGCATGCGCTTTCAAACTGAACACAAATTTCGCAATTAAGTAGAAGTTAAATAACCAGTATAGAGTTTTTTTTGGGTCAGCGGCATGAGGAAATCCATCATCCTGCATAAAAGTACCCAAACCGGACTGAAAGTATGTGGGAAAATGGAAAGCCCGACAGAAGCAAAAAGGAACCCGTACAGACAAACACTGCAACAAAAAACTCAAAAGATTAAAGTTTACTTTAAAGCTGAAAGTTTTGTTCAGTTTAAAGTTCCGTCCGCAAAATACACAACCAATCCACTTCTCACGAGTGTATATTCCCCGAAGCGCTTTGCGACGTCCCGACGACGCGATCAGCCGCTGTATCAAATTGGAAGGATTACGGTTACACATAATAATAATAATAATAATAATAATAATCCTTGCATTTGATATAGCGCTTTTCACGTCGGGAGGACGTCCCAAAGCGCTTCACAGAACACACTGTAACGTGAATTGACTGTATATTTGTGGGCGAACGCGGCAGCCAATTGCTCATAAACAATAACCACTATAATTTGTTTCAAAAATCGGTCACTCCACCCGCGACCGTCGGTGTGCGATCGGTTGGCGCGATTCGCCCGTAAAATATACGGTCCGTTCACATGTTGCTCAATCAAATGCAAAGATTATTATTATCATTATTATTACTATTATTGCTCACACTGAAGGTTAAAATCCCCCTCACACAGGAGTGGAGGGTAACATAACAGCTCACTTACCTGTTGCCAGGATCCTTTCCCAGTCAGCCTCACACATCAGCAAAAAGCAACCTGTTCTTTGAAGTTTTTTTTACCTTTTATTATAAACCTGGCGACAGGACTGGGATCAAATCCAAGTAACACCGCAGGGACTAAAAAAAAATATATGGATTAAAACTGCAGGAGGGGGAAAAAAAATCCAATTAAAACCCGAGAGATAATAAATACAGAGCAAAAAGTGCAGAAGTGATAAAATGAAGACCTCGGAAATCCAATTCAAAATTCAGAATTCAAAATTCAAAACTCAAAAATTCAAAATTCAAAATTCAAAATTCAAAATCCGCCAAAAAATAAAAACGCAAATAAAACCTCAAATGAAAACTTGCGGGAAATCGGAGGTGGAATCAGCGGAGACTACAGAGCGGAACCGCAGTAAATGAAATATGCGGAAATGAGAGAGAGAGAGAGAGACTCACACACACACACACAGGGAGAGAGAGAGAGGGGGGTAGAGAGAGGGGGAGGGGGGAGAGAGGGGGAGGGGGGGGAGAGGAAGGAGGGGGGGAGGAGAGAGGGGGAAAGTGCGGAGATAAAGAGCGAAACTACAGCAATAAAGGGCAAAGCTGCAGAAATAATGAATTAAAATAAATGACAGTGAAATGCAAAATGCCATGTGGTTTGGGGGCAGGAGGCTGGGGGGGGGGGGGCAGGAGGCAGGGGGGTGGGGGGGGGGGCTGGGGGGGGGGGGGCTGGGGGGGGGGGGGGCAGGGGGCTGGGGGGGTGGGGCAGGGGGCTGGGGGGGGCAGGAGGGTGGGGGGGGCAGGGGGCTGGGGGTGGGTGGGTGGTAGGAGTGTGGAGGGTGGGGGGTGGCAGGGGGTGGGGGGGGGGTGGGGTGGGGGGTCACCAGCTGTGCCACTTGTCTTTTCGAACGTTGCCCGGAAGGTTTGGAACTCTCAGCCGCTGTTACCTGGCGACGGGAACAATGAGCTGTCACTCACACACTCAGACCCGCCCCCCAGCACCTGGACCTGCCCATCCCCAGCAACTCACTCACCTCCTCCACCACATCCTCCACCACCAACCCCCCCACTCCCACCTCCCTTGTTGGGCTTTGTTGTAAAAGTGCACCCAGATTATCACAGCCAGTAGAGAAAGGAAGCCAACGCCAATCCCTTTGAGGTGTGGTTCAATGCTGCTCCCCCACCTGCACAACTTTTTTTTGCCTTACAACAAACACGCACAGTCCTCCTGACGCAAAAGTGGATGGAGTTGGCAGGGCTTGTCGGGTCCATCCACAAACTGCACGTCATCCCGAACTCTCCCGCTCCAGGCTCGTGACCCTATCGCCCCCACCCTCGCCCGGCTCCACTGGTACCCCGTCCCCCAGAGGATAGAGTTTAAAATCGCTGTTATCACCTTCAAAGCCTTCCATGGCCTTGCTCCTTCCTGCCTTAGTGACTTGCTAACTCCATATCAATCTGTCCGCTCCCTCAGCTCAGCAGGCTCATTGGCGGTCGGGCCTTCAGCTTCATTGCCCCACCCTATGGAACTCGATCCTACTTTCGCTTCGCCTCTCTCCCTCTCTTGACTCCTCAAGGCACGCCTCAAGACCCTTCTCTTCGACTGCCACTTCGGCCATCTTCCTACCCTCCCTGATCCCAACGCCCTTCCTCGGGTCCAAATCCCTGACTGTTCAGTGCCTTATGATGTCCTACCAAAGTGAAAGGCTCTATACAAATGCAATTTTTTTTAAATTTAACACATTTTCATCAGAAAATACTACAGATTGTGTGTGTGTGTGTTGGCGGGGGGATTCTCTCCTACTCAGGTAGACTGTCATACCTTCTCAGTTGTATAGAAATGACTTCTACCTGTTCTGTTGACCACAACCTCTCCGACCTACTTGTACTGCAATCCTCTGCCAATCCCCTTTGCTCAACTAACACAGGCCCACTGCATGTCTTCTGACCCCTCCTTGACTTTGGTGGCTACTCCATCCCTAATCTTGGAAACTCACTTTCTCAATCCCTGTGCTTCACTCCCTTGGCTCCCACCCTCTACTCAGGTACCCAGCCAGTACAGTTAAGTGCTCTGAGATGTCCTCCTGACATGAAAGGTGCTATATAAATTTGTATTGCATTGAATCTATCCTTAAATCCCCTGAAAAGTTATCTCTTTGACTGCACCCTTGACCAACTCCCCCTTCTCCCTCATTTGGTGTGCAATACTGTCACTCCAAGACATTATCCTACATAAAGGGTTCTATATAAATGCAAATTATTGGTGTAAAAAACAAATTTGTTACAAACATTTATGTCAGTGGTAGCCAATTTGTTTGGTCAGCCAAGAAAATACATTTTCTTGATTGAATATTTATGTCATATGCTGAGATTGGCCAGCAGACCGTAAGTTTGGCCAGCACTATTTTATGTAAATGTTTTGTTTACTCCTTTTCACTTTAGTTTTTTTACTAGTATTGCTGTAAAGTTGTGAAATTAATTTATGTGAGAACTCTACTTTTGGTAAACAACAACAAAAACAACTTGCATTTATATTGCGTCCATCATGTTGAGTAGCATCTCGGAGCACTGCTGTGAGAAAAAATTGTTGTATTTTCTAATACAACATATTAGATACTTACTGTAGTAAATTGCTAATCCCATTAGAAATTGATGCATAATTGCCCCAATTGTTTCATAATTTATTTACTGAGAGTTGGGAACACTGGGTTTAATTTTAAACCTATGCCCTACTGGTTGGTTCTCCTGGTCGTCAAGTTGTCTGCCTCATCAGTATCTCTTATAATTTTAATGCCCTGGATCATATCCTCTCAAACGTTTCTAATAAGAAAGTGCACTCTGCTAGATTCTTCTCATAAGGTACTGATTCATCCGTCCTTTAGATGAGACGTTAAACCGACATCCAGTCAGCCTGTCCAGGTAGATGTTAAATATCCCAGGGCACTATTCAAAAAAGTAAGGATTTTCTCCCAATGTCCTGGTCAACAAATAAAATTGGTCACTAACTCCATGGCTGTCTGTGGAGCATTTCAGTGTTCAATTGGCCTGCCGCTTTCACTTACAAATACAAAGTCACTTAACTTTATGGGGTAAGATCATGTGAAGCACTTTGGGACGTTCTCCTGATATGAAAGGCTCTACCAAATGATTATTTTCTTGTTGCTTTTCTCTGAACCTTCTTCAATGCCTCTCTGATGCTTTTGAAACTAAGGTGTCATAAATTGCATTGTACACATTTCAAATGTGACTGGAATTAGTTAACTGCTTTCTTGGGCTAACAACTCCATCTGAAGAAAGTTTATGCAGTTTAGGTATCTGCTCTGCGTTTTAATGACGCAACGTGTATTTATATACAGTAGTGCCCTTTACACAGGGTAGTGTCGGAGTGCTTACAATTTGTTTTGAAAAATTTAAGGTGAGACTGGAGTAGGTTGCTATGGTGAAACTTACAGAGGTGCAGAAATGTTAGGCATGCCCAATTTTTTTTATTTCAGTGTTACCATTCATTTTATAATAAAGTAACACAAACAAGTCTCTTGGCCTCTGCATGGCTATGTAATAACATTTCTATATATTTTATAACCATGGCTGTACAAGTAGGTTTCATGGCACTCATCCAACTAGGACTGACCTACCCATGCGGGCTTTGGCTCATGCACTTACAATTATGTCTGGGATCTCCAATCCCATTGATGATATGCCTAACAGGCTGAGTAACCAGCAAAGATTTTGTTTACTTCCACAAGAAACAGAAAAAAATAATACTGGGTCAAATGGCCTGTTCCTGTGAAGTTGTAACATTTTATGATTCAATGAATCTCTGATTCTATGCACATCTTTCTAACAATTCTTTTATTATAGCAAGGATCCCTGTCATTGTTTAGTGGGTAATGTAACCACTCTGCAGCACTGGGTCATACAGATTGGAACATTGGAAGCAGATTCAATAGTAGCTTTCTACAGGAACATAGGAACATAGGAATTAGGAGCAGGAGTAAGCCATTCGGCCCCTCGAGTCTGCCCTACCATTCAATAAGATCATGGCTGATTTAACCTAACTCCATCTGCCTGCCTTATCCCCATATCCCTTAATCCTTCTATACTTTAGAAATCTATCAATTTCAGTCTTGAATATGTTCAAGGACTGAGCATCTACAGCTTTCTGGGGTAGAGAATTCCATAAATTCACTACCCTCTGAGTGAAGAAGTGTTTCCTCAACTCTGTTCGAAAGGGTTGATCCTTAATCTTATGACTGTGACCCCTAGTTATAGATTCTCCTACCAAGGGAAATAGTCACACTGTCTACTCTGTCAAGCCCCATAAGAATCTTATGTTTCTAAAAGATCACCCTTAATTCTTCTATATTCTAGAGAATATAGGCCTAGTTTACTCAATCTATCCTCCTAGGTCAACCCCCTCATCCCAGGAACTAACCTAGTGAATCTACCCCCTCTAAGGTGAGAATATTCTTTCTTAAATAAGGAGACCAAACTGCACACACTATTCTAGGTGCGGTCTCACCAAGGCCCTATACAGTCGCAGCAAAACTTCCCTACTCTTGTATTCTAACCCTTTGCAATAAACGCTAACATGCCATTAGCCTTCCTAGTTGCTTGTTGTACCTGCATACTAACTTTTTGTGACATGGTGTACAAGGACATCCAAATCCCTCTGAACACTAACACTATCTAGTCTCTCCCCCTCTAGAAAATAATCTGTTTTTCTGTTTTTACTACCTAGGTGAATAACTTCACACTTCCCCACGTTATACTCTATCTACCACCTTCTTGCCCACTCACCTAGCCTATCTATATCCCTTTGCAATCTTTTAGTGTCATCCTCAGAACTTACTTTCCCACCTAGCTTAGTATCATCCAGAAATTTAGATATTTTAATTTCTATGTCCTTGTCTAGATCATTGATATAGACTGTAAATAGTTGAGGCCCAAGCACTGATCCTTGTGGTACCCCACTAGTCACATCTTGCCAATCTGAGAAGGATCCATCTATCCCTGGTCTCTGTTTTCTTCCCGTTAGCCATTTTTCCATCCATTGCTAATATATTGCCTTTAATTCCATGGGCCCTAATCTTGTGTAGCAGCCTTCCATGTGGCACCTTGTCGAATGCCTTCTGAAAATCTAAATATACTACATCTACTGGTTCCCCCCTATCTAACCTGCTAGTTACATCCTCAAAAAACTCTAAAAGATTTGTTAAGCATGACTTC